GTGAGTAAACTCGACCCTTCTTATTTAAAGGTTCATAACTTTATTCTCAGTCGTAGTACATTTACACAGATAAATGGTCTCGACACAGGTGTATTTTCAAATCCAATTAATCCTTTTATATGTATTCATGCATACGTTGTGGGCATTATTGATAATAGAATCAAGCTGTTCAGTGAACTGTAGTAAGGTAATACCTGTAGTATATGTCCCTCTGTAAATGTGATGCATGGTATGCTTATGGTTTTCAAGCTTATATTCATGTCCGTAGTATGTATTTATAGTGAGTGAGTTTAGTTTTACACCACGTTTAGGAATATTCCAACAATATCACGACAGGGACAGCAGAAATGAGCTTCACACATTGTACCCATGTGTGGAATCGAACCCGTGTCTTCAGCGTGGCAGTATATAGTGATAAAACATTTTTTCCTAGGTTCTAGTTTTATCCAAAGAAAACGTGTTATCAATCTGTATGAGCCTAACGTGATGATGAGTAGATGTCACATGTAGAAATGTATTTTCATTTTCTTTCACTTAAATATCAGCGTTTGGAAATGGAACCAGGCTGTATGGTGGTACGGCAGAGGAAATGTCGTGAATGTGATAATGTCAAACTGGGTATTAATGTGATATTAGCAATATTTATAATGGAATCAGTAGCGTTTTGGCTTGTTTTGTGTTTGGACTTTCAATGCTCCCATTTATCTAAATGGGCAAGTTCAACTTCTGGTGATAGATTGTGGGGATCCTCGATTATGACTGTGTGTTTGCATGCTAGTGTGAGAATAATAATATTCTGCATTTTCTCTTGGTGTTTCAGAAAATTATATAATTGGAGACTAACTGGATCAATAAAGAGTGATAAAAATGGCGTCCCTGGAACTACAGAGGCACAACCAGACAGTACTTGACAACTTGGAACCAGGTGATAGGTTGCAGTTTAAGCGAGGAGTGTACGATCACTGGGCTGTGTACGTCGGTAAGTGTAGTGTGACAAACAATTAATGCAAAATCTTGTGTTTATCTCTTGTTGAATGTTGAATACTGTGTCAATAATATTCGAGGAATATGACAGTGGTCTGTAAATAACCACGGCTGGCTCAGCGAATCCAGTGATTGAAATCATGAGCATCGATCCATGGAATTGTTGGTATTCTAAATATATATACATATTCGCAGTAAAACATGCTTGACGTTTTGAGATCTGCACAATAAGATGCGAATCTAGTATTCCGTCATTGATACCACAATGCGTATGTCCTACCTGTGCAGATGTTGTGTTTGCCTGCTTATTTCTTGTTGAATGTTCGTCGTGGTCAGGTTGCTGACTTGGTTGACACATGTCATCGGTTCCTAATTGCCCAGATCGATGCTCATGCGGTTGATCATTGGATTGTCTGGTCCAGAGTCGATTATTTACAGATCGCCGCCATATAGCTGGAATATTTCTGAGTGCCGTGTTAAACTAAACTCACTCACTCACTCTTGTTAAATGTTGTATCACCAACTACCCGTGAAGATCCGGGTTAGAATTGGTGTTCATCAACCCATGCTTGCCCTATGAGGCGACTAACGGGATGGGGTGGTCATGCCTGCTGACTTACTTAGTACATTCTCATAATGCCAATCACTGGATGGTGTGGTCCAGACTAGACTGCTTACAGAAAGTCTTCATAAAGTAGCAATATGCCGTTAAACAACAGAGAAACAATAAAACTATTTGTCCACGATTTGTGCGTTTCACAACCATATGTGTCAAGTTGGAAATATTCAATTACGGAGGCGCGTAAACGTTTAAACACGTAGATTCTATATTAACCTGAAGATATCTTTTCTGAAAGATGAATTCTTCAACACCAGTACTTTAACATCATATCATAAAGTTAATAAAGAGGTTGTGTATCGGTCATTCCGTTATTTCTGACAGAATTGCATAGGTATCTCGTAATGATTATTATTAACATATTTGTCATGTCTCTTTTAGGTAACAAGGAAGTCGTGCACTTGTCTGGAGTCGATGGTCCAATGGGAAGTGACCTGAATCACTCATTCACAATAAGTGGAGTAGAGTTTGATAAAGGAATTATTCGCAAAGATGCGTTTTGGGACGTTGTTGGAGACAGCAAAGTGTACAAAAACAACTCAAAGGACACGAAATTAAAGTAAGTTTGTTTGTTCAATGCGGAACTAATTTCATTTCCACTTGTAAGATGGTGTGACATGTATATATTTAGTTCTGGATCAGACAAACCAGTGATTGATATTGTCGGAAATGAACGATACTCCCAGTAACGACCCTAGAAGAACGGTTCCTTTTGAAATCCTGGAAAATGGTTTATATCCAGTTGTGGATGTCACTCCATCGTCTCCAAAAATACGGGGCGGTGGGTAGTCTAGTGGTTAAAGCGTTGGCTCGTCACGCCGAAGACCCGGGTTCGAATCCCCACATGGGTACAATGAGTGAAGCCCATTTCTGGTGTCCCCCGCCGTGATGTTGCTGGAATATTGCTAAAAGCGGCGTGAAACCAAACTCAGTCAGTCAGTCAGTCTCCAAAAATACCAAGGAATTGAATTCCAAATGGTCATAGTGTTGTTCTGTCGTTTCCAGACACTTGGCACCATCTAAGATAGTACAAAGAGCATTATCCAGACTTGGAGAAGTTGGATATAACCTGTTCTTGAAGAACTGTGAACACTTCGCTTCGTGGTGCCGGTATGGTAAAGAAGAAAGTGATCAGGTTTGTGTTAGTTTTGTCCAACCGTTCCTTTGCCAGGTTTATTTGTCATATTACGTTGAATTACGTTGAATTGCGTTTAGATCTGCTCAGACAACTATTTATCTTGCCACTGGTCAAATATACAAACGATGTATTTACTAGTAGCCAATCCTGAAATGTATGTTGCGAAGGGACATCTAAAGTCAGTGTGTCCCCATGGTCCCTAGTATGGTGATCTATAGCCCATTTTTACATTACGTTTTCTACTTTTAAAGATATATACTACAGCTTGTTCAGCTTGACCTGAGCTACTCTACATATACATTACCCGGGAGGTCAAATGGCACAAACGGCAGATCGGGTTATCTTCATTAAATAGGGATGCAGAAAATGTTATTAATGTTGCGTTCGTGGGAAGCATGCAAACATAGATTCGTTACAGAACTTGTCCCGGAAAACAACACTTCTGAAAAAACCCAATCATGTCAAGTTTTAATTGAATTGTTTAAACAGTCATATGCTATCTAGTTTGGTTTGCTAACTTTACAACTTACAGACGTCAGTTACTTTCACAATCCGATATACTCTCGCTATCACTCTCTACACCCAGTTCAATTATCACTTTTTATCCCCCGCCGCGCGTTTAGAGCGAAGCGGGGGATATAGTATTAGGTTCCGTCCGTCCGTCCGTCCGTCCGTACGTACGATTTGGAATATCTTAATTACCGTTCTCTAGATTCTTTTCATATTTGGTACCTAGGTTCATCGCAGTATAAGAATGATCCAAGCCAGCTTTGGTAACCTTGACCTTCATTTCAAGGTCACAAGGGGACTTTCACATTTTACCTGCATGTTAAGCTATCTCAAGAACCTTTCACTGGATTGTCTTCATATTTGAAACCAAGTTGTATCTAGGGAAGATGCAGGACCCAGTCAATTTTGGTCAATTTAGATTTCAGCATATTAATCTGCAGGTTATGCTTGTCAGCAAGATACCTCAAGAACCATTCACTGGTCAATTTAGATTTCAGCATATTAATCTGCAGGTTATGCTTGTCAGCAAGATACCTCAAGAACCATTCACTGGTTCATATTTTACACCACGATTTATCTAGGGAAGACGCAGGGTCCAGTCGATTTTGGTGACCTTCACTTAATGTTCAAGGTCACAGCGACACTTTGAAGATTTCAGCATGTTAACCTGAATTGTCAGCAAGATATTTCAAGAACGATTCACTGGATTTTCTTCAGACTTTCAAGACTTCCCTTAAATGGTTTTCAATAAGCAATTTTTTTAGTACTATTTTTGCATACATTTCATACACTATGACATTCATGTCAAGGTCAAAGTCAGTCTTGAAAATATGTGTTTGAACACCTAAAGAGCAAGATATCAAGAGAGGTTGACTGGTCATGTTTTTGTTGACATTTAACTTAAACTTTCATTACTTTATAAGTTTGATTTGATAATTTGCGGCGGGGGATTATGTCACCTTAGTGACATTGCTTGTTTTATTTCATGTTCAACTGCAATAGTTCTTTCCCAGCAGTCGCTTTCCAAATTTTCAACATGGACCAACAATCAGCCCACTCGTTTACACCAGTCATCTGACAAAGGTGCACCCCTTCACAATAATAGACCCAACCAGTTGTTACACGGTCACGCAACTCGTTTGTATTCACTTGATCAGGTCAATCTGAACAAGCTTTAGCTAGTTTTAATTCATTTTGTGATAAACTGGTAATTTTACTGTCCTTCGTTGACAGGGTTTTATATATTATATGTATGTATTATTAATTTAGACCTAGTTTTAGTCACGATATGGCTGAAATATTGCCTATGTGACTTTAAATTTTAATTCACTCACTCACTCTAAAGTCAATGTTGAGGTGTAGATCCTACACATCTTACCCAGGACGTACAAGTTCTCCATTAAGAGGGATGTGGGGTAGCCTAGTGGACGCCACATTCGCTTATCAGGCCGTATCCCCGGGATTGATTCCTCACATGGGTAAAATGTGTGAGGCCCATTTCTGGTGTCCATTGCTGTGATATTGCTGGAATATTGCTAAAAGCGGCGTAAAATTCATTCACTCATCATTTGAAGAATGAATTAAGCAATTACTCGTAAGACAACGTAACACATTACTAGCATGTTTAGAAATATTTGATATTGTTTCTTCTTGCAAAACCGTAGGATTAAAGTATTTTGGTCCGAAGTTTTGGCTACTCATTGTTGCTGTAGAAAGCAAATCACACATCACTATTTTCGTTTCGTTTAGGCTGATGGTCTGTTCACTGCACTAGCGGTTGGAGGGGCCGCTGTGGTGGTGGCGGGATTGGCTGTCTGGTTTGGAAGGGATGGAAAGAAAGAAAGAGAAAAGCAGTCAGAATATTGATGTGATAAATTTCCACCATAACACAGTTGCGAGTGAAACAGAATACATCGATCATGGATTGATCTGACGAATGCACCATATCTGACAACAGAGAGGTTTTCTGGATTCCATAACGTTCCTCACCAACTCGTACCATTCCGTGACAAGCCTAATATTCATGCCTGAGTCATGCTCCTGTTCATTCAGCCTTTCGAAGGATTCCATATCAGCAATTCCGTGACTTGGAACTACCCAAATAGCATTCGGACGTTGGCCCAACGCTGGCAATGCTGACAAAACTATTGCCAACGTTGGGCCAACGTTAGACTAACAACTAGTCTCTGAAATGATCATATTTTACTGAAAAAATTTCATAGTAAAAAAAAAATATATATATAATGAAAAGGAGCCCTGAGACTTTCTTCATTTTCAGAAGTTGAGGAAATCTATACTTGCCACATTTTCTACACTTGTGTGGGCTTTCTTGGATATATGTGCTTCAGGGTCTGTACGACAGACTAGGCCAACGTCTGAATGCTATCTGGGTTCTGTCATCACCATGTTCCAAAAAAGTATACCTGTGACAATGTGCTATTGATGATTCAGACACAGATCATACTGTTGTTGAAACAATTTTACTTAGATGTAAAAGTTCTGTTTGATGTTAAAGGATTAATACAAGGATACTCTGTTTTTGTTATTTCATTTGTCACTGTTTGTTTGTTGTTTAACGCTGCACTCAGGATGTGATGTGGACACATGTCATCGTATCCCAATTGCGTAGACTGATGCTCATGATGTTGATCACTGGATTATCTGGTATCTGTCACTACCAGAACAACTCGTGAAGATCAAGAATTGGTATTCAGAAAACAAAGTTTGTCATAAGAGGCGACAAACATCATCGTTTGGTTATGGTACATGTCTTTTCATGATATTGGTCACTGGGTTGTCTGATCCAGACTCAATGTTTTTGACAGACCGATTGAATCGAGCTGTTTATATTATGCAGTGTTAAACAGCAAAGAAACAGACACTACCACAACAAATAAAAATCACTATATAATATTATTAACCGTTATTCATGTTAAATAACAGTTGGTTGTTTGGTTGATGTTGTTTAACGGGCCACTCAGCAATGTTCCAGCTATATGCAGCTGTATGTAAATCATCGAGTCTGGACCAGACAATCGAGAGATAAACAATATGAGCATCGATCTTCGTCATTGGGACACGATGACATGTGCCAACCAAGTCAACAAACCTGACCACCTTATCCCGTTAGTCGCCTCTTTCACTGGCGACTTTTCACGTCGGTCACAGGACTGTGGGGTTGCCTTGTGCGCCGAAGACCCGGATTCGATTTCCCACATGGGTTTCAGTGTGTGAAGCCCATTTCAGGTGTACCTTGCTGTGATATTGCTTAAAGCGGCGTAAAATTAAACTCACTCACTCACTCATCATGCTCAGTCTTCATGTCAATGTTGTGTGTATGGCACAATAAACTAATTACTACCAAAAATGTGGGTGTAAATAGAGATTAGAAAACGAGTGGATGTTGAATATGGAAAATATTCCAATGAGATATTGTTAACAGCGTGTCGCTTTTGCTTGTGAATAAATCAAAACCTTTAATAATATCTCGTTGGAATATTTTCATATTCAACATCCACGAGTTTTGTGATCTATTTATTGTAGCATATTAGCGACAATTATTAGGTAGACCAATTATTAGATCAATATTAGATCATTATTAGATCAATATGCTACATTTATAACACTCAGGACGGAAAAACAGCGTGATCCGTTATGACAAATCTAGCTGACGATGGATGTGAACAAAGCGAAAGGGAGATAACTCTCTCACGACTACTTTTTGATGGAAATAAACAAGTAAAAATATTCAATTGAAAAAGAAACACACTATAAATCCCCAGAACAACTCTAATGCTTCGTTTGGTTAATAGTTTTGGTAAAACTGTTCGCATGGAGTTATAAGTTAAAATATTGAGGTGGCAACAGAAGGTTCGGCATTATTGGATAGCTTTGAACTGGTTACACAACACCTGCCTCAAATAACGAAAATTATCTCAAAACGATGTTCAAAACACGTGTGTAATAAAGTATTATAATTTTGTGTAGGATATCGCTTATGACGCCGAATGAATATTGTGGCTACCACGTAATTCTCAGGTGTGGACACGGTGTGTCTATTTTTAGCCTTAGTTGGGCAATACCACGGGGATTCCCCATCTTGTCGCACCGCTAACGCTGACTGGCTTACAACAGTTGTGTTGGGGCCGTGGGAAAGATAACACTGACTGACTGAGTTTGGTTTTACGCCGCTTTTAGCAATATTCCAGCAACATCACGGCGGGGGACACCAGAAATGGGCTTCACACATTGTGCCCATGTGGGGATTCGAACCCGGGTCTTCGGCGTGACGAGCCAACGCTTTAACCATTAGGCTACCCCACCGCCCCCGGGAAAGATAACAAAGATCGGCACATCTCAGGGAGACAGGTAACATTATTAACACCACAACTGCTGCAAATTGGTTGTGAGTGACTTTAATATTGATTTGAGAATTCTCACTGTGTAATAAGAGGTGTTTGTTATTTAGCACCGCACTCAGCAATATTCCAGCTATATGGCGACGGTCTGTCAATTATCAGGACCAGACAATCCGGTTATCAACAGCATGAGCATCGATCTACGCAATTGGGAAACGATGACATGTGTGTTAATGTGGAATGTAAGTTTGATTGCAACGATTCGGTTCGGTTCATCGAAAATCGAATCTGACACTTTAGTTTCTATTTTCGATAACAATTATCACTATTTCGATTTGATTCGATATTTGAATACGTATCAAAATTATTATTTACACAGTCAGAACGTATTTTTTATTCTAACTCAAACAGATTCGAGCGCTGTAATAAGGCGAAACGTGATCAGTTGACGCCGGGTTAATTGTTTTTTAGAATTGTTAATAGACATCGCCAAGTTGACGATGGATTTCACGCTAAACAAGCAGACTCACTCGAACTCTGAGAGTCAAAAGAAATCGAATGTTTTTACTTGTATGGAGAATTGAATCGAAAATGATCGAATCGATGGTCCAATATCGAAAATCGAATCGAGGGCTGGGTGAATCGATGCAGCCCTAAATGTAAGCCTTCAAAAACAGGGGTCTCAGGCTGATTGGATCAATCCACAAGTTTTGATAATGGTATCCCGCCGTGATATTGATGGAATATATCAAAGCGGCGTAAAATTAAACTCACTCGCTTAATCACAAATACAGAAGAATGTATGATACAGTTCAAACATTGTTTGTTTAACAGAATATTCGAACACAGTTCAGCTGTTTTCAATACGGGCTACACACACTATTGTGACAATAGACCAATGCAAACACAATGTCTTTCACTTTCAGTTTAGACTTGATAAGACATGCTCGAATGACAACATGTACAAAATAGATTCACGTCATAAATATTCCGGTTTTTAATAATATGCAAGCATGCTAGTTCACAGGTTCACGTACATTGAGTAATATATCCGGGAATTCATACAATAGGAAATCACTGCTTCGATCACTGTTACTTACAAGTGTCAAGACACCGTGAGAAACTCGACCCTTCTTATCAAAAGGTTCATAACTTTATTCTCAGTCGTGGTGTATTTATACAGATAAATGGTCCCGACACACATGTATCTAATACATCCTTTTATATGTATTCATGCATACGTTGTGGTCATTATTGTTAATAGAAATAAGCTGTTCAGTGAATCGTAGTGAAGTAATACCTATAGTATATGTCCCTCAGTAAACGTTACCCGTGAAGGTCCGGGTTAGAATGTGACTTCAGTAACCCATCCTTGTTACTGGGCGACTAACGGGATCGGGTGGTCAGGCTCGCTGACTTGGTTGACATATGTCCAGACTATTATTTACAGACCTCCGCCATATAGCTGGAATATAACTGAGTGCGGCGTAAAACTAAACTCACTCACTCACTCAGTAAATGTGATGCATGGTGTGCCTAACGTGATGATGACTGGTTCTCCTACATAGAAATGTATTTTCATTTACCTTCACTTGAACATCAGTGTTTGGAAATGGAACCAGACTGTATGGGTGTAAGGCAAAGGAAATATGTTGAAACTGACAAAGTCAAGCTGGGTATTTATGTGATATTAGCAATATTTATAATGAAATCAGTTGCGTTTTCGCCTGTTTTTTGTGATTTGACCTTGTAATGTCTCCATTTATCGTAATGGGCACATTCATCTTCTAGTGATTGGTTGTGGGGCTCCTCGATTATGACGTTGTGTTTGCATGCTAGTGTGAGAATAATAATATTCTGCATTTTTTCTTGGCGTTTCAGAAAAATAAATAACTGGAGACACAGTTCACTAATAGGTATAGATAAAGAGTAATACAAATGGCGTCCCTTGAACTACAGAGGCACAACCAGACAGTACTTGACAACTTGGAGCTAGGTGACCGGTTGCAGTTTAAGCGAGGAGTGTACAGTCACTGGGCTGTGTATGTTGGTAAGTGTAGTGTGACAGACTATTGATGTAAACTCTTCTGTTATTCTGCTTGTTTCATGTTGAATGCTGTGTCAGCAATATTCGAGTTATATTTCAGTGGTCTGTAAATAACTACGGCTTGCTCAGACAATCCACGAGCATCGATCCATGGACTTGCTTGTATTCAAAATAAGAATATAGATTTACATTACACCATGCTTGACGTTTTGAGATCTGCACAATGAAGATGCTAATCTAGTATTTCGCCATTGAATGGATATCATAATACATATGTCCTACCTGTGAAGATCCGGGTAAGAACTGATCTTCAGCAACCCATGCTTGCCTTAAGAGGCGACTAACGGGATCGGGTGGTCATGCCTGCTGACTTGGTTAATACATCCTCATAATGCCAATCACTGGATGGTCTGGTCCCGACTCGATTGTTTACAGAATGTCGTCATAAAGTAGGAAATATGCCGTTGAACAACAGAGAAACAATAGCTCCACGATTTGTGAGTTTCAGAACCATATGTGTCCAGGTGTAAATATCCAATCTCTGGGACACAATAAACGTTTAAACATGTAGATCCTATATTTACTTGCAGATACCTTTACTAAAAGATGAATTCATGAACACCAGTACTTTAACGACAAATCATATCAAGAAATGAATAAAGATGCTGTATATCGAGCATTCGTATATTTCTGACAAAATTGCATTCCGTTATAAATAATATATACATATTACTCGTGTGTTATTTAGGTAACTCGGAAGTCGTGCACTTGTCTGGAGCCGATGGTGCAGGTGGAAGTGACCTGAAGCACCCATGCACAATATCTGGGAGTTAAGTCTGATAATTGCATCGTCCGCAAAGATAATTGTTGGTTAGTCGCTGGAGATAGCACTACAAATACAACTCAAAGGACACAAAGGTAAAGTTAAGTCTGTTTGTTTTTCAATTCAGCACTCATTGTTTGTTCCAGTTGTAGGACGGTGTCACGCCTAGATAATTGATTCTTGACCAGAGAAACCAATTATTGTTACTGTCGGAAGTGAAAGTTACTCCCAACAACGACCCTAAGAGAACGCTTCATTTTGAAATCCTGGACAATGGTTCATATCCAGTTGTTGATGCCTTTTCATCTTCTCCATTGATACCAATTGAATTCCAAATGATCATCTTGTTGTTCTGTTGTTTCCAGACCATATGACTGACTGAGTTTGGTTTAACGCTGCTTTGTAGCAATATTCCAACAATTTCACGGCGGGAGACACCAGAAATGGGGTTTACTCATTGTACCTATGTGGGGATTCGAACCCGGGTCTTCGGCGTGACGAGCCAACGCTTTAACCACTAGACTACCCCACCGCCCCTCCAGACCATATGAACATTATAGGATAGTGAAAAGAGCATAATCCACAGTTGGAGAAGTTAGGTATAAGGTACTCTTTAAGAACCGCGAAGGTGCCGGTATGGCACAGAAGAAAGTGATCAGGTTTGCAGTTATCAATCAGTTCCTTTGCCGAAGTCATTTCCCTTGCACCAAGCACAGTAGTTTGACAAGCAGGTCAAAAGTTTTATTACGTTTAGATTACATTAGACTACGATTATTTGTCTCATTTGCAGGACATACAAGTTCTTTATTAAGGCTAGGAGCCATACATCATGCTTGGCCTCGTATCACGTACACTAGTTTTCAGAACAGCTAGCATTTTCAATAATATGCATGTTTCATTTTGCCAAAGACATGATTTAATAAGTTTGTTTTGTTTCCAAGAATCTTTTAAATGGAAGTATTGTAGAAAACAAATCACATGTTTTCATTTAGTTTTAGGCTCATCATCTGATTACTAGACATCTGATAGCCATGGTGTAAGATGGGTTTCTCTGGGTTGTCAGACAGCTTCGATTACGCCATAATTTACCACAAATACGTAAGGACCCACTACTCGTTTGACCGTATTTGACCATGTTCTCTAGGTATCTCAATATGGACATTGATACATTTGGCCTGCAATTGTCAGAGGAAGGAGCCGAACTTTGAGTTCAGCATGTATTGTTTCTCATTGTGATGACATCATATATCGTGCAGGTTTATAGATTATGGAAATCTGTGAACTATGGGATGCTGGAAGTGACATTGTCGCGTTGTCGCATTGTCACGCTTTGGTAAATTTTGCCTCATTTCGCTTGTTTTTGAGAGGGTATGACGCGATAACGCGACAATGCGACAACACGACATTGTCCCTTCTCGGATTCCATAGTGAACAGTATATTCGGCAGAAACTGTTTGTCTGTGTAAGTCTTCGTAAACATATTTATACATACCATTTAGCTACAGCTGCAGTTAGTTTAGGGATCATCGATGTCATTCTCTTAGATTATAAATGTAGGAGGTAAACATGTACAAATCGCATAAAATCAGTATTTTAAATATTTAAGTAAATCTTGTTTTAAACGTGTTCTCCTTTCAACATATCACGGTTATTATTTTGTGTGCCATGTATAGATGTAATAAATGTGTATACATCTTGTATGTGTTGATTGTGTCAATGTACTCTCGAACCAGCCCATGTGATTCGGACCCAATCTTCGGCGTGACGAGAGCTACCCCACCGCCCCACCAGCTTGAGAGGAATTAAGTATATCCTAATCTGAATATCTTCTCTTTCACACGCTGGAAAGACATAGGAGCGTGTACGTAAACGAGGTGACAACGACTCAAAGTGCCAGGAAATGTAATTAATGTAAAAGACTGATTCATGGCTTTGGTAGAATATTAGGGGACATATATTTTGTATTCCAGAACACATTTCGCGAAATACCCCAATCACATGGAAATTTCGAATGTGAAGTTTACATCATATAGGACTTTTCAGTGAGGCACCCGTTAACCCCTATGCCCACAACAGTAGAATTGTGCAACAACAGAATTAATCCGTAACTGTTAACCTCTGTTGCCCTGCAACCTCACACAGAATGATTACATCGCCCCTGTGTACGTCATGCACTCGTTATCAGTTATCTCTCTGTGACAGTGTTACAGAGAACTGTTGTATGTTACCACTAACAAAGACTAGATGCAACTTAGCATAGGATTCGTCAGTTTCTTTTAATTTCATACTGTACTCTTGTTATGACACCATGGGGATTCTTGGGTATATGCCCCAAAACATATTTACCTTAAAAGGCAAATATGTCATGGTGGCTTGTTGATTGTGCGTAATCTTTAACCGGGGGCGTAGGACGCAACACTTAAAACGTTCAATAGTTCGGTCCATCACAGTGGTTTCTCGGAAATTTTATATTGTGATGACCTAACACTACGAACAGAGATAACTCAATAGTCACGAGCTGCAGTTGATATGTGGGTGTAATAGGAACTCAAAGGCGAGAAAGGTAAGTGATGGTATATTTCGTGATTTGGCTTGGAAGTATTAAAGAGTACATTGTCACAACTAGAAGGTAGGTATTAAATAATTCAGCATACACCTTGATGACAAATCAGCATAATTGGGTTACACAAAGTGGAATATGTCACATCGCAGAGAGGGACTTAACAAATACTTCTGGATGGCTATCTATGAGGCAAAAACAGAATTAGACAGACAAAACTCACTGGAAATGTGTTGTCAAGATCTGCACTGGCAGATGTACCACTGCTGGAGACTACCTGAAGACTGACTGACTGACTGAGTTTGGTTTTACGCCGCTTTTAGCAATATTCCAGCAACATCACGGCAGGGGACACCAGAAATGGGCTTTTGGGGATTCGAACCCGGGTCTTCGGCGTGACGAGCCAACGCTTTAACCATTAGGCTACCCCACCGCCCCACTATCTGAAGATCCTCACGCCGAAAACCCGGGTTCGAATCCCAACATGGGTACAATGTATGAAGCCCATTTCTGGTGTCCCTCCCCGTGATGTTGCTGGAATATTGCTAAAAGCGGCGTAAAACCAAATTCAGTCAGTTCAGTCACTATCTGAAGAATCAGACTGAGCACAGCCATCCTGCAGTAAACACGGGCAAAGTCAAGTTTCCGAGTACAGTGAGAAAACGAGCAAGAGACGAGACCATGCAGATGCATATCATTTATGACGAGGAGTTAGAGGAAGAAAATAAAGATCAGATTCCTGTGTTTCCGTCCGTCTCAGGCATTTATAGTTCCCTGTACAGACATCGGCGTAAGACACGACCTGTACTTCCCCACTCACGTTTTGAAGTAGGACTGAAAAGAAGATGGACAGAGACAACAGATGGCCGCCCTTTTCTTCTTCACAAGCTGCTCGCCTTCTTCAGCCTAGAACAGTTACAAGCCCTGCAATGTTCTGAGATTATCTACATTGATGGGACATTACCTGCCTGGCCAGAGATGTGGAATCAAGTCTACATCATCCGTGTCTGAGTTGGTTCTGTGTCTTATCCCCTTGTTCATGTTATGTTGCCTGATCGACAAGCTACAAAGTGCACAAGAATGTTTAATCTCCTCAAGGGAAAGGTGTTGGAGAACTTGAACCGTCCCCCTGGCCCCAACAAGAAGAGAGACTGACTTTGAGGTAGCTGCCATCCGAGCCGTCGAGAGAGAATTTCCTGATTCCATCAAGGGCTGCGATGTTTTTCCAGTGATGATGAACTATAGAATACTCATGTGCTATTTATGACTTCATTAATGTGATTAAAATATGTTTTCAATGACGATTTACTTATCAGTTTTATACAGATAATAATTGTTTTAAAGTCTCATTGACATCATCGCTAAATCATTAAAATGATTATCTTATGATATTTTATCATTCTGCATAGTTTATTATTCCATTATCTATCTTCGGTAACAGGTAATTACTTAGCTGTGCATTCAGCTGAAAAGTGTGTTGTTTTAAGCTGTCTAACACTGGCTGTCTAACAAATGGGAGGACACCCTTGAATACTTCTTTGTCCAGCCCGTGCTGCTCATCGTGATCATTATTTGGTTCTGCCTGTCCTCTAGTCTGTGAAATAAGAAAAATATTAAAGGACTGGTGGTATTAGCAATGGTCGACTGGTCTACACACTCCACACTCCTCAATCTGAAATAGAAAAGATGAGTTCCATTGTAATGAAATTCACATAAACACACCATATGAATATATTTACGTACTGTTGTAAATGATCAGGTTTGAATCTAACATTTTAAGAGACTGGGTGTAGATGCAATAAACGTTTATTTATTAAACGTGTGCAGTCTTTAACCTCGACGTATAAGTCAAATACCAACTCGCCCCTCGGTTAATCAGTTAAATGAATCTGATCGCCATCGTTATCAGCCTTGCGCCGAGGTGCTATTTGCTATCGCTTAAATATCTGTGTGTATTTCCGACAACAAAACACGTAGTAACACCATCATAACGACTGACTAAACAACACTACGACATCATGACGACTGACATATCTTCAATATGACGTCATGACGACTGACATTACAACACCATGACGTCATGGTGACCAACATAACAAGACCATAACGTCCTGATGACCGACATAACAACACTATGACGTCACGACGACCGACATAACCACACTATGGCGTCATGATGACCAACATAACAACACTATGACATCGTAATGACGACATAACAACACTATGACGTCATGATGACTCACATAACAACACTATGACATCGTAATGACGACATAACAACACTATGACGTCATGATGACCGACATAATAACACTATGACATCATGATAACCAACATAACAACACTATGACATCATGACGACCGACATAACAACACTATGACGTCATGATGACCAGCACAACAACACTATGACATCATGACGACCGACATAACAACACTATGACATCATAATGACGACATAACAACACCATGACGTTATGATGACCGACATAATAACACTATGACATCATGGTGACCAACATAACAACACTATGACATCATGACGCCCGACATAACAACACTATGATGTCATGATGATCAACATAACAACACTATGACATCATGACGCCCGACATAACAACACTATGACGTCATCCTGACCGACACAACAACACTATGACATCTTGATGACAGACATAACAACCCTGCAACGTCATGGCGACTGACTTAACAACACTACGACACTTTATTGCTCTCAAATCTTACAGAGGGTCAAACAATTGCCCCTGTGCATGTCTTGCATTTGCTATCAGTTTACTTGCTCTAAAATGTTACAGAATATATTTTTAAATCTGTTGCCTGTAACCACCACTGTTGCCTGTAACGACCACGAGCAGCATGGTCTGGGATGTCCGTTAACATCTTGACATTACTTATAATAGTGTTGTTAACAGACGGTTGAGATTTTTGGTTGTATGTCCAACACATGTTTTTGATTCAGGCGCCTTCACGTCTCGGCTGTTTGTTTGGTTGTGTGCAGCCTTAAACGCGGACGTAGAACAAAGCGCTCAAGAACAATCACAGGATTGTCCGCTTCAGGGTGTGTGTAGTGAAATTGCAGTGATGTTGCTGTAATCAGACGTTCAACAAGATACTTAAAATAGGTCGGGTCATCATTCGGTTTATATGGACTTGTTGCAACCTGTGTCACAATAAGAAAAGCTGGTTAGGATTCCTGGGAAATTCGCGTCTTGGAATGCTAAATATCAAACCCACCCTCGGGTGTTTCGTTGTACGTAACAAACTAAGGGAATGACAGCGGGAAACAAAAATATACTACTATTACAGTACGATGCGACATTACAACTCTTTTACAGCACGATGCAACATTACAACACAATTACAGAACGATGCCACATTACAACACTATTACAGCACGATGCAACATTACAACACTGTTACCGCACGATTCAACATTACATCACTATTACAGTACGATGAAATATTACAACAGTATTATTGCACGATGCAACATTACAACAGTATTATTGCACGATGCAACATTACAACACTGTTACAGCACGATGCAATATTACAACACTATTACAGCACGATGCAACATTGCAACACTATTACAGTACGATGCTACATTACGACAGTATCACAGCACGATGCAACATTTAGCTCTGCAGTGAATTGCAGTAAGGTGATACCTCAGGGGCATATGTCCCTTGGGAAATGTGATGCACTGCATGTTTACGATTTTGAAGCTTATATTCATGTCCCTAGAATATATCTGTAAAACATTTTTCCAACGTTCCAATTTCCTCCCAAGAAAACGTGTTATCAGTCTCTATGAGCCTAATGATGATGACTAGTTGACACACATAGAAATGTATTTTCAGTCACCTACACTTAAACACAGGTATTTGGAAATGACATTTCCGTTCGAGATCGTACGACATAGGAAATGCGTTGATGGCCGCAGTCTTACTCAGCAATATAATCAAATCAGTTGCAGTTTCGCTTTTTTTGTTACTTGACACTGTAATGTTCCCAAAGTGATCTTAATGGACAAATTCATTTTCTTGTCGTTGGTTGTGGGACTCCTCGATTGTTTCTTTAAATTTGCATGCTAGTGTGAGAAGAATATTATTCTGCATTTTCCTTTGGGGTTTCAGAAAAATATATGTTTGGAGACACAGTTCACTAACTGCATAGTTAAAGAGTAAAGAAAAATGACGACCCTACAACAACTACAACAACACAACCAGACAGTACTTGACAACTTGGAACCAGGTGACATGTTGCAGTTTAAGCGAGGAGTGTTCAGTCACTGGGCTGTGTACGTCGGTAAGTGTAGTGCAACAAAATGTTAATGCAAAATCTTGTGTTTATTTCTTGTTGAATGTTGAATGCTGTGTCAGCAATATTCGAGGTATATGACAGCGGTCTGTAAGTAACTACGGCTGGCTCAGATAATCCAGTGATTGAAATCATGAGCATTCATCCATGGAATTGTTAGTGTTCAAAATAAGTATAGGGATTCACAACAAAACATGACTGGCGTTTTGAGATCTGCAAATTGAAAATGCGAATCTATAGTACTGTCGGAAAAGAGAAAACCCTGTATTTTCTCATTTATCTCTACAATTTATGTAGTTGATATGTGAAAGTTTGAAATATCTGTGAACTAAGTTCGGCCTAACTACAGTCTCTGTGGTAGAGATGTAGGAAACGGAGAAAAGGACTTTACTGAGGGGAAATTAGTGCAGAAATGAGCAATGCAGTTTTTCAAAGTTCAAAGTTTCAAAGTTCAAAAAGACTTATTTGGAACAGACCATGGCTTTATGCAAATTAGTGTGCGGCGATATTGTATTACAAAAGACACTTTTTAAATTGCCAATTTGAAATTAGGCGTAGATTCATTATAAACGATAGCTGACGTAAAGAAATAATAACTTTTATTGTGAAACTATCAAGGATGTAGCTACCATGGAGTCTCACTGTCACTATAAAAAGAAACAGATAGGAGGGCTGGTCTCAAAAGCAAAACCTGGAGTCGGGCTGGGAGATAGAGATATCAGTTAAGATAAGATAATCCTTTAGGGCAATTATACTGGGGAGGTACATGGCACGTCATAACAATTTACAAAAAATATCCATCCATGTCGATCTTCGGGTGGACATGCCACCAATGTACTACGATGCGTTTAGATGGTTTTCGGGTATCATACGCTTTTACATATTTCAACATAAACTTCATGAAAGAAGGAAACGTAAGATGTTTATCAATAGATGAGGCACAGTCAACACACATGAAAAAGCACAAGATATCTTTGAGATGACCCCTTATGCATGTCCGACGTCATACCAACCTGAGCGACCTAATTGCCATCTATAGTCTGATCTATTGTTTACAGCGGCTATTCGTATTTTATCTAAGTTTTGCCCGATTTTACGAGTAAACGTGCTTTTCTGGATATCGTATTACACATCCCACTGAACGCCCAGTTAGGCCGAAGTGGGTTATTTCGACATATGGTATTTGCAATTGTGTAAATTTTAGGGATACAGAGTAACAGCCTAAAAACAGTTTTTTTCTATTTCCAACAGTACATTTACTTTTCCGTCATTGAATGGATATCACGATGCATGTATCCTACCTGTGCAGATCCGAGTTATCATTGATCATCAGCAACCCATGCTTGTCTTAAGAGGCGACCAACGGAATCGGGCTATAATCCGTGCTGTCTTGGTTAGTACATCATCATAATGCCAATCACTGTCTGGATGCTGATTTCCAGACTCGATTGTTAACCGAAAGTCGTCATAATGTAGGAAATATGCCGTCGAGTAACAGAGAAACAATGTCCACGATTTGCGAGTCTCAAACTCATGTGTCAAGGTGTAAACATTCAATCTCCGAAGTGCTTAAATATTTAAACAAGTAGATATCACTTTAACCTGTAGATACCTTTAACAGTATATCATATCATGAAGTTAATAAAGAGGTTGTTTATCGGTAATTCCGTTATTTCTGACAATATTGGTCTGGTAATAATTACTATTAAGATATTTGTCATGTCCTGTTTAGGTGACAAGGAAGTCGTGCACTTGTCTGGAGTCGATGGTCCAACGCAAAGTGGTCTGTTTAGCTCAGTCAGTATAAGTGGAGCACAGTTTGACAATGGAATTATTCGCAAAGATGCGTTTTGGGACGTTGTTGGATTGAGCGAAGTGTGCCAAAACAACTCAAAGGACGAGAAATTAAAGTAAGTTTTGTTTGTTGTTAGCAGAGAATAACTAGGAGTATCCAACCATCGAGCCATCCATAACCTCATTGAACCTGTGACGTTAGGAGGACGTGACCGTCACACAAAGACGTGACCTCTTGACGTCACCGTTTGTTACGTCATCGACTATCGGCCCAACGTAATATATTGTTCATAGGACAATGAAAGCGAAACATTCATGTATCAAAAGGTCTCTTGCGTGTCTGCAACGCATCGAATATGTACGGTAACAAAGTATAAAATAGAACAGAAATAAAACACATTCAGCATGTTGAATAACAGAAAGTATAAGGGGGCGTGGCCTCTTGACACCATAGGCTGACTTCGTGCAAGCAATGAGTAGGAGTTGTATATGTCATTTTCATAGTTTCAGAATATTATTCACATATGTAACTATTTTGTTGTCTGTATATATCTGTGACGGTTATACATTTCGTATAAATAAAACTTATGTTTGAAATTAAGCGATTAATTTTCAGGAAAGAAGGAGACATGATAATTGTTGCAGACAAGTAGGAGACCTTTTCATACAAGAATGTTACGATTTCATTGTTCTAGGGCCAATATATTACGATGGATCGGATCAATACACGGTGACGAGCTCACTGGTTCAGTGAGGGCACGGATGGTTCGACGGCCGGATACTCTTCATTCATTCTCTACTGTTTTTCAATGTAGAACTCATTTCATTTCCCGCTGTAAGAAGGTGTGACATGTGTATAATTGATTCTTGACCAGATAAACCGGATTTTCAAATCCTGGAGAATGGTTTATATAAAGTTGTTCAAATTGATCATATTGTTGTTTTGTTGTTTCCAGATACTTTGAACCATCTGAGATAGTACAAAGAGCATTATCCAAAATTGGAAAAGTTGGGTATAACATCCTCTTTAACAACTGCGAACACTTTGCTACATGGTGCCGGTATGGCAAAGAAGAAAGTGATCAGGTTTGTATTTATCCAACTGTTTCATTTCATTTCTCTTCCACTAAATGGACATGGCGATCAGCTCAACCAAACAAAATACATTTTGATTTGGAAAGTATTGATGTAAAGGGATGTTGAGGTATGAAATTTACATATAAACGAATAACAGTCTGCACTTCTGATACCCAGGTCGAGAAGGTATTGTAACAATGTATTCTGTTCGCGTATCGTTTTTTGCAATGATGACGTATCTGCAAATATCTTTTTCAAGATGAACAAGTTTTTCATTAGGTCCTGGTTTGGATACACCTTGTGTACCCCAGTTCTGGTATTCTCAGGCGTAATATTGCTGGAAAACTGCTGAAAACGCAATCCACTCACTCTTCTCAAAGAAGAGATGCCACACGACTACCCTCGGAGTCGTACCATTACCTTTCAGAACAGCGAGCACGTTCAGAAACATTTGATGTAGGATTATAATAGAAGTGTCTGGGATTTCGGAAGCACATTACAAATGTAGAAAACAAATCAAGTATCAATAGTTTTCCTTTTCTTTAGGTTCAGGGTCTGTTTGATGCAGTGGCTGAGGTAGGAGAGCCGCTGTGACAGGGGCAGGGGTAGCATTGGCTGCCTTGTTTGGAAGTGGCGGAAAGGAGGAAAGAGAAAAACATACCCAAAACTTAAGTTCTTATCATAAAATGGTTACGAGTGAAACCGAATATGTTGGTCAAGGAAACTGTGGACTGGTCGACGATTTGACGAGGTCTCATGACTCCATGGCAGAACCATTTTAAACCAAAGAAGCTATTTACAAAATTCATTGAAATGAAAACATACACCTTGTTCACTAATGTGGGAAATATAACCATAGCGCTTGCTGGATTATTAGATTATTGCACACACAATCATATGACCGTTGTAGTAGTTACTGATGCCAAAGTTATTACTTGAAGTACTGTGGCGCCATTGTCTGTAGATAACATTGATCACTGTATTATTACAATGCTTAGAACAATCAAGACGATATGAAAATTACATAATATATTCTTAAATTTTGCGGACCTTCAGGACATATGGGTATTATTTATTGTTTTTTACGAAAAGTCTTATTGTTTTTCAGTATACATTCCATTGCATTACTGTGGACAGGCACTTTCCCTGTGACGTCACATGTCATGATGTGATTTCAACTGATGTTTATTTCTTCAATATTAAACTTCTTGAATGAGTGATCGAGTTGGGTTTTATGCCACAATATTCAAGCAATGTCACGACGGTGGACACCAGAAATGGGATTCACGCATTCCACCCATTTTGGGAATCGAGACCGGGCTTTCGGACCGGACAAGCTAACGTTTTAACTACTAACCACTCCACCGCCACCTATTTGCCACACAGTTTTACGGCACATCGGGTAAACGCCAAGTAAACTATATTTTGTTTTCGCCTCGTTTCTGTAAATTTGTTCCACAGTAGCCTATACACACAGGACAAGAGCGTTTTCTCCACCATGGAACTCCAGTAATGCTGTAGATGGCAATGACATAACAATGTGGTGGCCATGTCATTAGAAAGGAATATTTACCATCTTTTTATTATAACCATCCAAATGAAATATAAATGACCATAGTCCCGACCAACAAAGCGTTCGTATCTTTGCGACCTGTCGTGGCTCTATAGTTCATCATAGGCTTATGAGTGTCTTGAGCTACGAACGTGTTGTTGATAGGGTGAGCGAGTGAGTGAGTTAAGGTTTAAAGTCACATCGGCAATATATCAGCCATATCGTGACCCATATTATTAAGAAATGAAAATGCTACTGAACTACGGAACCTGTCAATGTATATCTATTTAATTTAACCTAGAAAAATCTGTTTTAAATCTGTAATCTGTAAATATTTAGCACATGCTTTTCTGCTGCTCAGTTGTAAATATTGTGTAATGTAATACAGGCCTGTGGCCTTTAAAGTACTGAATACAGATGAATGGCGTTATAACGGTACCTGCCGGAAAGTCAAAGTCAGGTTAGGTCATTTCCTGTTTGTTCGTTGTGAATCATGTACATTCAGTCATCCTAATCCCCTGGACCAGTGAAGCTGAAACATGCTTCCTTGCAGTAATATATTATGATTTTGTTAGAAATCTATGTGGCCGCCACAACAACTGTTTTGGAAAAATACATTCATGACCATTACTATGCCTATTTTGTACAAACTTTGATAGATTAATTTTGTTTAGTATATGATGCGATTCAGTAAATATTTTTCATTTTTCAGTGATTTGAATGTAAGAAAATCTTTCTTTTCAACAATTTTGTATACATCGTATGTGTGAAATAAATATGCAAACAATTATTTTGTGTTGATTGTGTTCAAGTATCCTGGAACCAACTTTAGGGATGCTACTGATATTTAAAGTTCGATATCATAAAATTTACGTAAGAGGAAAGATGGTGGATGCAGCAGAGTATGTGCCAACAAATGCCACCAAGTAAAGGATTGGCTAGAAGACTGGTATGTTAGTGGGATCTAAGGAGCAGTATATTTTGCCACCTTCAGAACATATTTAACGGGTTTTATTAACAGAACACTTTTTGAAATGAGAAGTTAACAAAACATGCATATTTTCCTTTGGACGAGTGGTAACATGACTGAGGTCTTTGCCGCCCCTTCGCTCATCACGTGTGTATGCTTGAAATGACAATAACACTGACGGACTTTTTCCACGTTCCTGTGAATAGAGAGCGTGTGAGTGAGTATTGTTTTACGCCCCTTTAGCACTATTCCAGCAATATCACGGCGGGGACACCCAAAATGGGCTTCACACTTTGGACCCATGTGGGAATCGAACCCGGTCTTCAGCGTGACGACCGGACGCTTTAACCACAAGGCTACCCGAACGCCCCTCCTGGAAATAACCCGTAGCACGAATAATGTAGAAGCTTTGTTTCGTTTCGACCTGTTTATCTCGACCTCGGTGTTTTGTCATGCATCGGGAGAAGCCACATAGTTGGAGGATATACTGGCTTCGAACCATGCTAGCAAACAAAAGAAGTGACATCAAAATTGAGGACTCGATCTACGTGTAGGCTAACAATTAATATTCAACAGCAGTCTATATGTATATATTTACCGAACATTCTATTAAACACAAGTTTCTGATGATCATTAACTCATCATTGATAAGTAACACTTTTAATTAGCACCGGTTCCTGAACAACTTCCACAATATCTCCTGTCTTACCTCACATATAAACGTCGTTTTCTGATTGGCTGAGCACACTTTTATTATTTTCAGTGTACCACACTTACTTACACGTTTTCTATGTTACCCGCTGGTAACTATGATAATTCATTTGGTACTTCGTGTTAGTTATTCTTTATCTCGAATAATTGAGTCACGTATGATGCTTTGCGAAATGCAAATCGGTGGAAGGGAGGTAACTCTATTTTTTGTCGTCTGCTAGATTCTATGTCATCTGAAAATGTAGCGATTGTCGGTATTGGCTAATTGCTTAACCCTGGTACATCCAGTTCAAACAGTCCCTCAGTACGGTGATGTACTCTCAGTCTCAGAGAACATAAACAAACATAGAACAACCCATCCCGTGACCAGTGAACAACAACTTACAATGTTAACTGATAACATCTGGTGTTGTACTTAACTAACTCCGGGGCGACAGCGGGACGCGACACTACCACAGATAGTGGCCACATGAACACGCGCAAACACCCACTTGCGGGTACAGCAACGTGCAGTAAACTTGGACAAAGTACTGTGACTATGTGTCCCAGTCCACCCAGCTGTGCATGGGTACCTCGTAAGGATGGGAATGCCATAAAAACCATGTGTGCCTAGTGGCTGCAAGAGTTGTATGACCCCAGGGAGTTGAGATTGATAATAAGATGTGCCGTTGAGATTGACATCCAGTGAACGAGAGAAAAACAAAGTGCCTTTGAGCAGCTGATCTGAGCTGGATATCGGCGCTATACAAATTGTATGTATGTATGTATGTATGTATGTATGTATGTATGTATGTATGTATGTATGTATGTATGTATGTATGTATGTATGTATGTATGTATGTATGTATGTATGTATGTATGTATGTATGTATGTATGTATGTATGTATGTATGTATGTATGTATGTATGTATGTAAACACAATTTACTGTGTTCGCAATCATCAAATCCTTCGGGCTCAGAACAAAACATAGATGGTACATCTACCTGTGTCATCCTCCCGACCAGTGAATAACAACTGACAATGTCACATTAATCGTGTCGCCCATTTCCACATTCTGAATTTGTACATGTGTTACACTGTAATAGTGCTGAAACAAATATCTGCTCATGATATAGTCTCAGTCTAAGTAAACTTAGGCTCAATATTATTCGTAATAGCAGTGTAATGAATAATACTGAGTATAGCAGTGTAACGAATAATACTAAGCCTAAGTTTACTTAGACTGGATATAGTCACAATCTGCTTAAAGCAGATATTTCTTATGAATGTGGAAAGGGTTTTGTCGTTTTTATTTACTAAGTGCTGTTTCGTGAACACCTTAGGTAGTTCGGAGGGCATATTTTCATATTGTATTGCTTGAATCTATTTGTTTAAGCACAAGTTATTCCTCTGTCACAAGTTGGTCATACACATGCCCATGTAACTTCTCCCTTTGATGGGGGCGGTGGGTTGCCTAATGGTTAAAGCGTTGGCTCGTCACGCCGAAGACCCGGGTTCGAATCCCCACATGGGTGCAATGTGTGAAGCCCATTTCTGGTGTCCCCCGCCGTGATGTTTCTGGAATCTTGCTAAAAGCGGTGTAAAACCAAACTCAGTCAGTCATTCTCCCTTTGATGAACTATTTTGTTGAGCGTGACAGATGATCGTTTCAAGGCTGTGGATGCAAGCTAACAATGGAAGTCACGCTATGTGCGTCAGGTTGACATACAGGCAAGTTTATGGCATGGAGTTACTATTGTCCTGCTACCAGCCTACTAGCGGGTATTTTTGTAATGCGATAGTTCGCGACAACGATTAATTGGAAATTCGATGTCAGGATGACATAACTCAGAGTAAGAGGAAGGCCTACTGTGAGTAACTGTATCAGGTAGGAGGTTTTATGTTGACGCCAGTGATAGGAAGGAAAATGTTTGTATATATCGTGATTTGGCACACAATAATTACAGAGTAGGAAAAGTATAATGTGATTCAGAATATCTATGCTTGTATGTCGGTATTTGTAAACTTATGATTCATATTTATTTGCTGAATCTCTTCCTGATTTGTTACACCTATTGAATACATGTGCTGATGACTCTTGATGTTTGTAAAGTTGCTTCATCATGCTGCAGCCCACACTAAAAGTACCCTCCTTTGTGTAAAGTTGATTATGACAGGGAGCAGCCCCCATGGTGGGATCAAGAAATAGAGGAGTTAAAACATGATGAGTACAAGGCCCTTAGAGCTCTTAAAGATTTTAATCAAAGTCTGGATATTTTCAGGTGTCTTAGAAATTGTTTTAAACATGTTTTCAGAGTTAAGAAGGAAGCCTATTTCAAGAAGTTGGTAGTTGCTAGTAAGGATTCTGAGTTATTATGGAGGATTCTGAAAAAGTGTAATTCTTCCAGTGGTATTACTCAGTTTATAACGAATC